CTATCTATCTATCTATCTATCTATCTATCTATCTATCTATCTATCTATCTATCTATCTATCTATCTATCTATCTATCTATCTATCTATCTATCTATCTATCTATCTATCTATCTATCTATCTATCTATCTATCTATCTATCTATCTATCTATCTATCTATCTATCTATCTATCTATCTATCTATCTATCTATCTATCTATCTATCTATCTATCTATCTATCTATCTATCTATCTATCTATCTATCTATCTATCTATCTATCTATCTATCTATCTATCTATCTATCTATCTATCTATCTGTCTGTCTGTCTGTCTGTCTGTCTGTCTGTCTGTCTGTCTGTCTGTCTGTCTGTCTGTCTGTCTGTCTGTCTGTCTGTCTGTCTGTCTGTCTGTCTGTCTGTCTGTCTGTCTGTCTGTCTGTCTGTCTGTCTGTCTGTCTGTCTGTCTGTCTGTCTGTCTGTCGGTCGGTCGGTCGGTCGGTCGGTCGGTCTGTCTGTCTGTCTGTCTGTCTGTCTGTCTGTCTGTCTGTCTGTCTGGAATCTATATGTCTGTCTGAACACATGTCCTCCGAATGCCTGTATATGTCTACTTAGCGACCTATCTGTCTCTACATACACAAACACCTGTTGCCTGTAAGGCTCTGGCGAGCCACTTATTACTTTTGCCTTGTGTAAAACCCTACATTAGAGCCTCCTTTCTGCCACCCCATGCGTCGCCTCATTACCCCCACATTTACCCCGGGTGTTAAGCAAAGTCACATTCTTGTCCATTTGTGCACCAGGAAATGTGTTCCGGCAAGTCAGATAGAGCGTGTCGTGCATGCCAAGTTGGACATGTCTGTTTCCTGTCTGATTTAACGCTTTGGTCACTTTTTCGACTCTACACAAACGTAAACCTTGTAGATATAATATAGGTCTAGACAGGGCGCTGTCAGCTGGGGGAATGGGGCGCTGTCAGCTGGGCGAAGGGGCACTGTCAGCTGGGCGATGGGGCGCTGTCAGCTGGGTGATGGGGCGCTGTCAGCTGGGCGATGGGGCGCTGTCAGCTGGGTGATGGGGCGCTGTCAGCTGGGTGATGGGGCGCTGTCAGCTGGGAGGTGGGGCGCTGTCAGCTGGGTGATGGGGCGCTGTCAGCTGGGAGGTGGGCCGATGAGGCGCCACGGGGCCTCCTTGTCCCTACCCAGAAATTTTTTTTTTTTTTTTGCCAGGCATTAAATTAATAGTAATAATAGTAAGCTAGGCTGCGATATCTGCACGTTCGGTCTATCACATCTGACTTAAGCAAACTCATAATAACCGCCTGATAAGACACAAGTGGGGCTGGTGGAATGGGTCTATTCTTTGTTTTCCTAAAATGGGACGCTACAATTATTATTTTTTTTACTATTATTGCACACTTTAACCAGATTTAAGCTTCCTTGAGCAACTCTTGCTTAGGACAATTCTATATATATTAAACAAAAAAGAAAATGCGCTGATAGGCATTCGTGGAAAGAAGTAGAAAGATAAAGGGACACACTAGACAGCAAAAATTTCGAAAGCTATAGTTACCGAGTCGAGAATCGAACCTGTCACCTCCACACTGCGTGTGCACCTCGCTATGGAAACAAATGCACTAAGAACATGGTCAGCTAGGCACCCCTTGGTCATGTCTATCGTAAAGCTTGAAATCCACAACTATAGAATATGTATCTCAAACCATTGAAGTGGCACCATAGGTTACAGACATTTATATTCACGAGACATAGGTCGAATAGGCAGTTGCCGTGGCGTTGGCGGCTAGATGCCCGCCTGCGGATCGGAGGTCGTAGGTTCGCGTCCTGGCAGAACCGGACTTTTTTTTTAAGACCTGAGTCCCAGGTCGACCCAGGCTTGAGTGGGTACCAGATGCAGTCCTGGGATGTAAAGGCGGTCGGCGTGATACTGACCACATCACCCGCCAAGTACCGATTGGTCAATACAAATATAGGTCTAGCCCTATATGCCCAATACGCCTGGAAAAGGGGCCTTTTTATAGGTGGAATAACAAACACAACTACAATTTAGAAAATGCTGTGGGTTGAGGGGGGTCCCCGCAAGATTTCTGAGTGGCGACGGTCCTGGCAGCAGATACTGTCACGTGTACAGACTGCAGGAGGATCTGCAGAACGGCAAGGGGTAGAGACAGAAATACCTACCCCTGGGGTTTCGACTGCCTCAGGTGTTACCAGATCACTGGGGGAAACCGTGACCAAACGACGGCGGGAATTGATGGAGCGTAGCAACAGAAGCGTGGAGTGGGATGTAGACGTCACACTTGTGAGAGACAAGTGCTGGCTGAAAGAGGAAAGGGAAAGACATAAAAGTGTCTGTGAAAGCTGAGACAGCTGGGTAACAAATTATTATAAAATGGCTTTAACGTCGTTAAAATATCAGATGACAAAGTGAAGTTGGAGCCTTGAACAAGAAGGGGTAGAAAGAATAAGAATATCTCTACACAGACTACATAGACGACCTAGACTACACAAGCGACCCTAGACTACACAAGCGACCCTAGACTACACAAGCGACCCTAGACTACACGGGCGACCCTAGACTACACGGGCGACCCTAGACTACACGGGCGACCCTAGACTACACGGGCGACTCTAGACTACACAAGCGACCCTAGACTACACGGGCGACCCTAGACAACACGGGCGACCCTAGACTACACAGACGACCCTAGACTACACAAGCGACCCTAGACTACACAGACGACCCTAGACTACACGGGCGACCCTAGACTACACGGGCAGCGAGGGAGCAGAGTTCAGGAACGATAAATGTGTCTACTCCACCAGATACACTGGATAAGTTTGTGCTGGCACTTCTGGTAGCTGCCTGATATATTTAATGCGTGTGTAGGCTATTGGGCATGCTAGGACTGCAGACTGCGAAGGTTTTTTTATTCTTTTTACCAGGGATAGTAATGGCCATTCTGTGTGGTTTATGTTGGCACTGAAACGAGCAAACTTCGATGACCCTATTGCACTGAAGAACGAACTAGATAACTGGGACTGATAACCGGAACTTTGATAACCGGAAGTCTGATAACCGAAACTCTAATAACTAAAACTCTGATAACCGGGACTCTGATAACCGGGACTGTGATAACCGAAGCTCTAATAACCGAAACTCGGATAACCGGGACTTTGAAAACCGGGACTCTGATAACCGAAACTCCAATAACCGAAACTCTGATAACCGGAACTCTGATAACCGTGATTATTATAATCAGGACTGATAACCAGAACTCTGATAACCGTGATTATTATAATCAGGACTGATAACCGGAACTCTGATAACCGTGATTATTATAATCAGGACTGATAACCGGAACTCTGATAACCGTGATTATTATAATCAGGACTGATAACCAGAACTCTGATAACCGTGATTATTATAATCAGGACTGATAACCGGAACTCTGATAACCGTGATTATTATAATCAGGACTGATAACCGGAACTCTGATAACCGTGATTATTATAATCAGGACTGATAACCAGAACTCTGATAACCGTGATTATTATAATCAGGACTGATAACCGGAACTCTGATAACCGTGATTATTATAATCAGGACTGATAACCAGAACTCTGATAACCGTGATTATTATAATCAGGACTGATAACCAGAACTCTGATAACCGGAACTCTGATAACCGTGATTATTATAATCAGGACTGATAACCAGAACTCTGATAACCAGAACTCTGATAACCAGAACTCTGATAACCAGAACTCTGATAACCAGAACTCTGATAACCAGATCACATCGGAGATAATGCTATTAATTCTACTTTGTAGGCAAATCAGCATTCTGTAGGTTATGGGGACAGTAACACCGCAGGTCGCCTTAACTTCCCAGAACATTTCCCCGTAGTCTTTAATGTCAAGGTTAAAGGTTAATGACTTGATTGTACCATGTTTGATCCGTTTGATCCCATATTGCTGGGTCGCTCCCCGCTCATAGTTAGCCGCCTGCCGAGAGCGTCCAACACAAGCTCGAACCCCTAGGGGGGTGTGTAAAATAAAGTGCACTGGTAAGCTGGACGACACAGGCGCGAAACGAACACACGGCCTTCAGAGCTAGAGGCAACGTCTTGACCACTTCGCCACAGAGACGTTCAAGTCTGGTTCTAGCTGGGAGATGAGTTCTGACATCACTTCCTCTTCCGGAAGTGTCTAAACACAAATCTTCAGGGCTGTAGTTGAGCTCAACAGCTGCCACCTCAGACCCCCAGTTGTTGGCTTTCTGTCCTCTCTGTTCAGTCAGCTGGGTTTGTCTAGCAGACGTCATCCTACAACCATGCCATCTTTGATTCCCATTCTACTGCAGGTGCGGCTACAGTTCTCCTACCCGTAAATTTCATCCCGTGTCTGGAAACTGTGTCTGTCTTTGTCATTACCGATCATTGTCTGATGACTTGCTCCAGCTTTCCTTGGTATATGTCGTACCCCCAGGGCAGAGGTGTGGGTAAATGGTTGCGTCTTGTGTGTAGCAGCGCAAACACACATTCTCACACACCTTCACACACATACACATACCCACATGGACATACTCACATACACATTATCTGAATTATAAGCACTAGAACCTGGCGGATTGAATCACTGCGATCGCCCCTCCCCAAAACATTTTGTGTGTGTATATATATATATATATATATATATATATATATATATGTGTGTGTGTGTGTGTGTGTGTGTGTGCGTGAGTGGAGCCAGTGTTGCGTAACCGATAGACGCTCGCCTACAGATCTGAAGCTAGTAAGTTCAAATCTGCGTCGTCCTCGTCAGAGTGTTGGTGACAAAATGACAGGCAAATATAACTATTGTTGTCTTTTTCAGATCACACTCGCATCGAGGGAAAGTCAGAACTTATCTGTGCAACCATCGTGTCGACCCAACAGCGCCATCTCTACAACACTCACAGCGGGTTGACATATGACAACCATCGCAACAGGAAACAACCCAGAATGTTGCTACGTCTCATTCTCGTCCTAGGGTGTTTGACAAGCCTGTGTCATGGAGACATCCAGGTCAGCACTGATGAGGAGGTATCTCCCGGAACGGTAGTCACTCGTCTCCCCGACCATCGGCTGGTCTTTGGCAACCTGACGGAGGATCAGATCCTCACACTGACCTACGCCATCTTGAGCCAGAACAGTTTTCCCGCCAGTTTCTTCAAAATCGACCCCAAGAGCGGCGTGGTCGCCATAGCCAGCCGGATAGACAGAGAGGAAATCTGTGACCCCATAGACGTGTGCTCGGTAAGTACAGTGTGGGTCAGTGAGTGTCCGCTCGGACATCTATTGGTTCTCTCAGATTTAAGTTGCTTGTGGGTTTTCATCTTTGTTCGTTCCATTTCTGTTCTTTGCCTTCCTCTGCAACCCTCCCCCCCCCCCCCCCCCCGTCCCCCTAACTTTTAACCATCTGTATTTAAACTTAATTTTCCCTCTTCCTTGTACTTTTCTCTCTGTCTCTCTTTCTTTCTCTCTCTCTCTTTCTCTCTCTCTCTCTCTGTCTCTCTCTCTCTCTGTGTATGTGTGTTTCTTTGACTTGATCTTCCCGTATCACTCTCTCTTTCTCTCTCTCTCTCTTTCTCTCTCTACCCCGCTCCTCCTATTTTCAGTTGTCTTTCTCCCCTATTTGTGAGTACGTGAATTTGTGAATGTCTGTGTGTATATGGCTGTGTGTATGTATATATGTATGCATGTATGTATGTGTGCTTCTCTCTCTGTCTCTGTCTCTGTCTCTCTCTGTCTCTGTCTCTCTCTCTCTCTCTCTCTCTCTCTCTCTCTCTCTCTCTCTCTCTTTCTCTCAAATGCGCGGTGAGCGGGTGACGAACTCTTTGTGGTCCGGAGGGTAGGCAGAAAAGCCACATTTGTCCCAGATTTACGGTATTTACAATGGAATCAAGGCCGAGAGGTTGCGATATCCATAATACCGAGCCTAAGGGTTAACAACTCGTGGCTTCTGGATACTAAAACAATCTCTATCTCTCTCTGTCTCTCTTTACTCTCACACATAAAGTGGACTCTCGCACATAGAACACCGCTGTCTTGAATACCCTTCTGGCACCATCTAGCAAATAATCTGTTAGGGATTGAAACGGATATCTGCACAAAGATCACATTACATAATGTTATCAAACAGCTGATGCGTGATCGCCCCTACCAGCGGAACAACAGCTGACGGTAAACTTTATCATAAAACAAATGGAATTTTGATAGCGAATAAAACAGAACCCGCCATATGGCCAGTTTGGGCACAGAAAAACCACAGAAGGCGGTCTATCATAGGGCTCTCTTGTGTGGTGACTGGACATTTTTGCCAAGCAAAGATGGGATCATGTGGGGTCGGTAAGCTCATCACTAGTCAGTGGCTGCAAGCTGCAGAAAACCGGACATCTGGGCACGAGCCGTCGAATAGTGGTTGACAGTCACGTGGTTGGTTCTAGAAAGTAAACATACCTGGCCCAGTTTTGTGGTAAACAGACCGCGGAACTACGTGACGGTGAAGGGCTCTACCTGGCCGAGTGTCACACCAGATTAAGCGAGAAGTTTCACCCACTCGAGCGTGCAACTCGGTTTTTCCCCCTTCAGGCAGAGAGCGGTTTTGCTTGTTTGGTCAAGGACCACTTGATGGCGCATAGATATCTCTGTAAGTGCCCTAGTCTTCCTTCCGTAGACGACAATCTCTGGATTATCTCGGTGCCTCAACCGGCCATCCTTCAAATGTGTGCATGCCAAAATCTCTAGATCATCTCGGTGCATCAACCAGCAAGTTTTTAAATGTGTGCATGCCAAAATTTATGGATCATCTCGGTGCATCAACCGGCCAGTATTCAAATGTGTGCAAGTCAAATCACTAACATTATAAATACAGTCACTGTGGCTAGGGTTTTCTGCCACATGTACTGTTGGGGCGCTGTCTCGTTGTAGCGGCTAGACGTTTGCTTGTCGATCCAAAGATCGTGGGCGCTAATCCAAACAGAGCCGGATTTTTCTCCTTTCAGAAATGACCTTGGCTTTAAGGTCAACTTAACGTTCAATAACAAACATTTTTAAAAAAGTAAAGGAGCCTCTTCCACGACTTCAGGCGCATTAGGCATATAGGGCTAGACCTATGTTTTATAGACCAAACGGCACTTGGCGGGTGGTGTAGTCAGCATCACGCCGGTCGTCTTTACTTCCCAGGACTGTATTTGGTACACACTCAAGGCTGCGGACAGTGTGCGCTTTTTTCTGCCTATCTGACAAAGATGGCCGTTCTTGCTCTAATATCTCTGTCTTTCTCAATAGTCCGTCTCTGTCTCTCTCACATCTTGTCTCTCTCTCTCCCTCGCACTCACTCGTCAGGGTTTGCGTGTGCTCCAAACTAACTATATGAAACACCCACCACTTGCAGGTGAAAATCAACATCGCTATCCAGTCGGGAAACCAAGCACTCGTGTCCTTCTCCACCGTGGTCAGTCTTGAGGTCATCATCAATGACGTCAACGACAACCCGCCACGGTTTCCGGCAAGGGACGTGACTCTAGAAGTACCGGAGGGTGCCAAGGTAAGACCCGCCCAGACAGTAGTCGTTGACTCAGTGGTGAGAACGGTCACCACATTCACCAGAATTGATTTTTTTTTAAATTGAAAGATAACACAAAAGATAACACAAAAGATAAGAGGGAAATTAAAAACTGTAGTCAAGCTGTGATTTAAATAAGAAAAATAAAGTTACATGTCTACACCTCTAGACATTGTAGCTGTGGTTATATGTCTACACCTATAGACGTTGTAGCTGTGGTTATATGTCTACACCTCTAGACATTGTAGCTGTGGTTATACAGCTGTTAGACGCTCGCCTGCCTTTCTGAAAGTCATGGGTTCGAATTCAGATCGAGACTGTTTTGTTTTTAAACGGACTTTGTCTCCTAAGTTGACCTGGTATAAAATGGGTTCGGTGTAAAGTCACGGGAAGCAAAGGCGGTCGGTTTGATATGGAGGCATCAGCCACTGAGTATCGACTGTCTGTAAAACTATTACACTAGCATCATATGTCTCATGCGCCAACTTGGTAAACCAAAAAAAATGTCAATAAATTTTGCTTAGTTCTAGAAATAGCCGACACGACAGGAAGACTAGACACATGAAGATACAATAGTGGACAGTTCAGGAAACTAGTTAGTTAGTTAGTTAGTTAGTTAGTTAGTTAGTTAGTTAGTTAGTTAGTTAGTTAGTTAGTTAGTTAGTTAGTTAAGTAGTTAGTTAGTTAGTTAGTTAGTTAGTTAGTTAGTTAGTTAGTTAGTTAGTTAGTTAGTTAGTTAGTTAGTTAGTTAGTTAGTTAGTTACTTAGTTAGTTAGTTAGTTAGTTAGTCGGTTAGTTAGTCTGTTAGTTAGCAAGTTAGTTAGTTAGCAAATTAACTAGTTACTTAGCTAGTTACATGGAGGATAATCCTATCGAACAAGCCCATAAGCGCTCCGATCCCATCTTATGTAACCCCCCCCCCCTCATCCCCTCTATCAAGCAAGGGGCGACTGATGTCACCAGTCCTGTGTTGGTTTACGTCACTGCTTAAATTATCTGTATAGTTTTCATGTGGGACAAGACTTCTTGTCAACGGAAGTTTTTATGGTCTTGTCAACGTTACCCACTCATCGTCGCCTCGTGAAGCAGCTACTAGGTCTGCCTCCTGGAGAACATTGAGATCATCAGCCCGGTCCACTGCTTGTCCTCTACCTACCGTGGCTGCACCAGCAAGCTAATCCGCTCACTCATTCCCTCTTACCCTGAAAGTTATGGCTCTACCAGGATTCCAGTCTGATGCACAATTACGAATTTCCTTAAATCAAACTATATGAATCAAAAGGTGCAGATATCGCAGCTTAGCTGTAAACCCAACTACATTGTGCCAACTGCCCTTTGAAGGGCACACAAAGAAAATGTCCCTGAACTGAAGAACCTGATGATGATGATAATGGTGATGATGATGATGATAATAGTGGTGATGATAAATCCCTGTGCACATACCGTTTACTATATGTCTGTATCATGGTGTGTTTGCATGTGTGTATGATCCAACCTCCATCGTTCATTCACGGGAAACTATTAAAACTATTTCACAGGTTGGGACCGAACTGAAGATCAGCGGAGCTATCGACCTCGATTCCAGACCTGAGTTCACCGTCCAGCACTACAATATCACTCCGCCACTGAGCACCTTCAGCCTCCGGTCGACCTTGAACTTGGACGGCAGTAGTACCATAGCGCTGAGGCTAGAGAAGGAGCTGGACCGGGAGGTCGTTGATGAGTACATCTTCAACATCATGGCCTATGACAGTGGTGCCCACCCGCAGACCGATTACCTAGGGGTCGTTGTTAGAGTCACGGACGTCAACGATAATGTGCCAAAGTTCAGCCGCTCCAAGTACGAAATGACGGTAAACACAAACGAGAGACCAGGAGCCAACATCGGGCAGGTGTGTGGGTCGTTGGATCACTTGTTGTTCCTTATTTTCTTCAGTATCCTTCTCTTCTCCTTCTCTTCTTCTTCTTCTTCTTTTTCTTCTTCTTCTTCTTCTTTTTCTTCTTCTTCTTCTTCTTCTTCTTCTTCTTCTTCTTCTTTTTCTCGTCATCTCCTTCCACTACTAGTACTTCTACTTCCGCTACAATAACAACAACTACTACTACTAGTACTACTACAACTGTTACTACTACAGCTACTAAGAAAAAAAAAAGAAGAGGAAGAAGAAGAAGAGGATGATTATGATGACGATGATGAAACGACAAGGGCGTGATCTAAATTCCCAAACTTGTAAGTTCCCAAACTTGTATGTGATGACCATAACCATGCTAAAGTCTTCATGCTTCACTTCATACTTCACTGCATACTTCACTTTATACTTCACTGCATACTTCATTTCATACTTCACTGCATACTTCACTTTATACTTCACTGCATACTTCATTTCATACTTCACTGCATACTTCACACTTCACTGCTTACTTCACTTCATACTTCACTACATACTTCACTTTATACTTCACTGCATTCTTCACTTTATACTTCACTGCATACTTCACTTCATACTTCACTTTATACTTCACTGCATACTTCACTGCATACTTCACTTCATACTTCACTGCATACTTCACTTTATACTTCACTGCATACTTCACTTCATATTTCACTGCATACTTCACTTCATACTTCACTGCATTCTTCACTTCGTGCTTCAAAGACAGATCTGTTACATAATTAGCTTGTTTATCTAGTGAAAGAAGTAACATGATTTGTGTATATGATGACTCTGTTCATTTCTGTGTTCAGGTAACGGCAACAGATGATGATGTCGGTGAGTTCGGACACGTGACCTATAGCTTCAGCTCCAGCAGCGAATCCGTGATCAAGGGAAGCTTGGCCATCAACTCCTCCACCGGCTGGATCACAGTTAAAGGAGACCTGAAGACGTTCCGCAGGTCCTCGCCCATCCTGTTGTTTGTTGACGCTAGGGATGGCGGACAGCCGCCCTTGGGTAGCCAGGCTCTGGTGTCTTTGCTGGTTATTAACTCCGAGAACAACCGGCCATTCATCAAAGTGAACACTGTGGCAGCAGCAGACGTCACCAGCTTGAGCATCCCGGAGTCGGCGGCCATGGATCACTTCGTGGCTTTCGTTGACGTCGATGACAGCGATGATGGAGATAATGGACAGGTCGCTTGTCAGATTGTATCGGGTTTTCAGTTTAAACTGAGATCTGTCCCAAACAAGGGCTACACTTTGTTGCTGAACGCTTCCGTGGATCGTGAGCAGAAGGATTCCTACCAGGTCGTCATTAGCTGCAAAGATGGCGGCAGTCCTTCCTTGGAGACACGGGTGACCTTGACAGTCAATATCACAGATGTCAATGACAACACTCCCAAGTTCTCCAGCAACCTGTACACTGCTACAGTCGAGGAAAACCGCGACCCCGGACAGTTCATCACTCAAGTGACAGCTCTAGATGCTGATACTGGCATGAATGGAGAGCTTACCTACTCTCTACCCAGAGAGGCGCAGGAATATCTCCGAATCCATGCCAAGTCTGGAGTGATAACTTCCAATGTTCCGCTAGATCGAGAAAAGAATGCAACTCTTCGGTTCACAATTCTCGTCACGGATGGGGGCGAGAGACCTAAAACTGGCGTGGCAGAGATCTCCATTTCCATCAAAGACGTCAACGACAACAGCCCACAATTCAACGAGACCAAATTTGTCTTCTCTGTCTCCGAGCAGGCTCAGAATAACAGCACAGTCGGCATCCTGTCTGCCTTTGATCTGGACATTGGCTCTAACGGAGGATTTGACTTCTATTTCGGCGGGTCGGCGACAGGTGAAATGCCACTACCTTTTATCGTTCTAAAAAACGGTTCCATCCAAGTCACCGGGCCACTGGACAGGGAGACCAAGGGACAGTACTCGTTCACAGCGATGGTGAGAGACAGGGGAGACACTCCTCGCTCCAACACGGCGGCCGTGGAGATCAGAATTCTGGACGAGAACGACAATGATCCAGTCATTTTGTTCCCCACTTCCAGAAACCACACAATCATCGTTTCCACCACACCAGAAAACGGAATGGTTCTGGGTCGCATTATTGCTTATGACATAGACGAGGAGGACGCTGCCAAACTGCTGTACTTTATATATGACGGGGATATCGACCGGGCGTTTTCTATGGACGCCAACACTGGAGAGCTGATTGTTCAAAGCATTGAACATCTGCAGAACCCCAAAGAGTATTTCCTGTCCATCAAAGTTGAAGACGCTTCTAAACACCCCAGAAATACAACCACGCAGTTGAGAATCGAGGTCTTGTTTGACAACACAACTGCTGGAATGACGCTAGCTCAAACCGGAAGTTCACGAGACCAATACGTCATCATTGTTGGGGTCATTGGCGGGGCTACCATTGTTCTGTCTGTCATCATCATCACAGCCATTATTCTTATCCTTCGATCTGAGAGGAACAGACATACCTCTTCTGACGCCGCTTCAGTGAAAAGCAAGTTCTTTGATCAATCCTTAGCTGCAGAAGTGGCTACACAGAAGCTGGTCAGTGACCTCAAAGTGACCAAGTCACAGAGTAGCTCTTCTGTGGGTAGTGTCTCCCATGTGACCAGCCCTGGGACAGAGTCCCAGAACAACAGATGCCCTGGCTCGATGACCAGTCCCGGGCTGCAGGCCAAGAAACAGGAGGATGTGCAGAAGAAGGTCAGTTTCAGCCTCCAGGACGATCGCCATGAGCAGTGTCAAGGTCAGACATCTAATAATCAGTTGAGAGTACAACTTCCGGTGGCGTATGAGGGACATGCGCAGTGGAAAGGTTATAACAAGGTGAGTAAGGATTTGTCTCTCTGTCTGGTTTCTGTATGTTTATGTGTCCATATATAATATTATTTTCATGGACTGTATTTTTCCTGGTTCTTTAAGTAAATCTGTTAATTTGCTTCTCTCTCTCTCTCTCTCTCTCTCTCTCTCTCTCTCTCTCTCTCTCTCTCTCTCTCTCTGCGTGTGTGTGTATGTTTGTGTGCAAGTGTGTCTAAATATTCGTCTCTGACATCTTCATCTAGAAAGTGGCTTTTAGCCGTTGAGCCGCGGAACAGTTTAGATAGACCATCAAACAATTTTGCCTCATCACGTGATAGGGTGGGAAATATAGTTGTTCTCTTCTATGATTGTAGGATTCGACACCTCAATGGTGAGAATCAAACAGCCGCAAATCCCAGAAACCCGGTTCAACCCCCATAACACCCATATTATAGCACTCGACGATTAAAGCTGTAGTCTAGTCTGGCCTGGGAAAAGGACAGTGGCTGATGTAGTGGCGACGTAATTGCTGCTGAGCCAGTGTGGTGGCGACGTAACTGCTGCTAAGCCAGTGTGGCGGCGACGTCATTGCTGCTGAGACTGTGCTGTGTGTTATGCGTCAGTTTGGATGTGTTTAATGTGATGGTCATGTGGCGGAACAATTTCTCTTGTTGTGGTGGGCAGCGGGTGTGAAAAGGTTGAGACACATCGATCTGGAACCCACACTTGGCACGCTCTGCTCTCCTTCTTCTTCTCCTTTGTCTTTCTCTCCATCCTCCACTCATACCTATTTATCCTACTTCCCACAAATCTACCCCCTCACACATTAATACCATTCTCTCCACAAATCTACCTCTCCGGAAAAAAAGATTTCCCGTGCTACAATTAACCCACCTCAAGGTTCTCGTGTCAAACCTGACACAGCTCCAGCATTCATCTCCCTGGCTCCCGCCACATCCCCGGATCTGTTTCCACTTCTCGCTCTCTACGGTGTAACCCAGATTTCTCTCCAGTAAGCACTTTCACGTGGAGCCGTCTCCGCTACCATCTGATGCAAGCTGACAGGGCCAATTCTCGCCCTTTGTGTGTGGAATTTGCCTGTCTGCCATTGTTCTCGTAGAATCCCAAATCTCGTTACAGTGTGACTTGGAAGTAACTTCGTGTTTGACACGCGAAATGCAATCTTTCAGGCGATATTACGTTTGATGTGTTTGTCTGATGTGTTCTGTATTAATGTGTTTTTTGGGGTGAGATTCTCAGTCGAGTAGAACCCGCCCCCTGTCGTGGGAATGAGTTGGTCGTCCTCGCTGACCCGGCTTGGCAGTCGATGATATGTCTGTGTGTCAATTATACAACAGTCGAGACGAGAAGTCGAGATGCGTCTACATGCCAGGGTAGGAGGGAAGTCCTAGCTAGGCTGCCTGATGAAACCAACATGTGAGATGTCTCTTCATCTAAGATTACAAGAAGGAGGGTTAAATAAGACCATACGGTACCTGTGTATCAAGGGTACCAGACAAACATCAACTCGACGGCACACATTATTTATTAGCTAGAGAAGACGCGAAATAAAACCAAGGTAATGATATACTTCCCTGCGTGTGGGTTTCGGGGTACCCATTTGGGGATGGGGAGTGGGATAGATCTCCTGCTCCCCTAACAGGCATTTCGTAAAATATTATTAATTAGGAATGGTTTTCTTTCGAAGAAGTGTGTCTGTCTGAAAAGCGAGTAACCAACAGTCTGCACACAAATAAGTCAGATCTATAAAACAGATATGCACGCACACCTTAAGCTCTAGAACAAGACCAAAGTCCAAAAATGGACGAACAACCATATTTTTGCCGGCTTTCACAGTGGATGGACGCTAAGAAGAATACGAAGATGATGTTGTTGTTTGTAGCTTCTCTGTTTGACGGACTATACCGCACTTGAAGTCACACAGAGAGTGCAGAGGAGAGTTGGTGGGGGAGCGCCTTGTGGATGATGCAAGCTTTGCCCCAGGACGAGTAAATGTTGACCGGAAACTTCATGTTATGGCAGGGCAGACCAGGCCTTTCAGCCTTGGTGGCTAGCTTTTCTGGGAAGGAATCTCTGACAGGCAGACAGACAAAGCAATGCTCCTGTGATCCGATAGCTTCTGGTAGTCTTAGTTTCAGCTTCATAGCAACGGGTCGCCCCATCCTTGCTCCGCTCCTGTGCCAACAAAAAACACCCAGAATGTTTATCACAGTCCCTTGTGGAAAGATTGAAAGACTGCTGTCTCAGCATATCTAGCATACACTCGCAATAAAGCATACGGTAGCCATCCGAAGTGCTAACACAAACAGTCCAACATTAGAAATGCAGTTCATCATTGATGATAGCAGAACTTGTCGCCAACAGTTCAGCAGTTGTCCACGCGATCAATTTTAACCAGATACGGGCACCGCCAGCATTGCACGACAGGCATCACGCCATTTTCTGAATCTACAATTCACACCACGTTGGTCACAGTCAAAAATACATTCCAAATGCAATCCGCAGCTCACAGGGTCACGCCATGCATTCAACTCAGAAGCTGGGCGACGAAACTATATCCAGTCTGCAAATGGAGCAAAAATACTTCGGCCACCGTCCGGCAGAAGCAAAAAATTTGCCTCTACTTCGAACAGCGCCGCTGTCTAGCGTCCATTTTAACCGGAAGTCCTGATAGCTTCTGCAGAATGCTTTGTTTTCAACGTATTGGTGTTACCTTTCCTTTAGGATAAACAAGATCTCCACAATACTGCTCAGGTGTTGCGTTATGGAAAGTGCTTTGAAATCCCTGGCACATATTGTAGAAGACTGTTGTGAACGCCAGATGGTCTTGCTCGTCAGACTCCCTGTGTCTCTACCTGTAGTGTCCGTGTCAGCCTTTAGCACAATGCGACTCTATCGGCTGGAAAGACAGAAAGCTACCAAAGGAATTCTTGTTCATCCCAGGGTAGAAACAGAAATTTTAACCGAAAAACAAAAATCCGTTTAATTTTTGCAGAAACTTTCTTAGAATGAAATGAACAGAGCCACAAGAAAAATATCGACATCCGACATGATCTGAACATCGACGACAGCATCCCGTCTCGACAGCGGCCGATGAACAGCATACTGTCCCGACAGCGGCCCATAAACAGCATCCTGTCCCGACAGCGGCCCATAAACAACATTCTGTCCCGACAGCGGCCCATAAACAGCATCCTGTCCCGACAGCGGCCCATAAACAGCACCCTGTCCCGACAGCGGCCCATAAATCGCATCATGTCCCGACAGCGGGACAAAAACAGCATCCTGTCCCGACAGCGGCCCATAAACAGCATCCGGTCCCGACAGTGGCCCATAAACCGCATCCTGTCCCGATAGCGGTCCATAAACAGCATCCTGTCCCGACAGCGGTCCATAAATAGCATCCTGTACCGGCAGCTGCGCGATTGTAGCCATGTTAAACGTCATGGAGGCCTGGAGAAAAACGGTGATGGAGGGTGCAGGAAAACGAGACAAAGGCCAACTTCTGCGGAAGTTTTTATAAGACACTGAAGATGTATCGACTGTGAAAGCACATAAGACCGGAGAATTGGCTATAGAAAGAGAAACTGTGAGGTGAACCGTGAAGAGTTCCACGTTCTGTAAAAAATCTACTGGTTGATGACGATGGTGAATAGATAATTACAGAAAAGTTGTTACTTTTGCTAGTGACCGTTCTCCGAGCCACTCGGCGAGTTCTGACATGTTTGTCTTTTCTCTGACAGTCTGACGACATCAGCAGTGACACGTCCGGCGAGTCCGGCACCCTGGACAGTGGCCGGGGCACCAGCGAGGAGGACATCAAGTTCGATCACATGCTCAGCAGAGGTAAGCACATGACGTCAATATTGTACTACTTACACAGTGTGTCTTTATGTCTCTTCTACCCTTGATCTTTCCATTCATCACGATGTTCTCTCATGCCTCGTTTCTCATTACACGACTGAAAAGCAGTCTCTTTCTTATAGTTGTCTATGTTTTAATTTTTGGGGACTAAACTAATGACTAGTGAAAAACTTGACCTTTCCGGGACAAACAGATTTCCTCACAAGCTGACACCCCACTAGTGAAACAGTTACTTAGAACTCAAGCTTGACCTAGGCTATCATGGGAAATATGTTGCGAAGTAAAGGCTCTCGACTCAACATTTATCAGATTTCTCCAGCAATGCTGACCGGTATATTAAAATATATTTCTGTGGCTTTATGTTGAATGTCTCTCCAGATGTGGAAATTGTACTTCTTCTTCTTCTTCTTCTTCTTCTTCTTCTTCTTCTTCTTCTTCTTTTTCTTCTTCTTTTTCTTCTTCTTTCTCTTTTTCCTCTTCTTCTTCTTCTTCTTCTTCTTCCTCTTCTTCTTCTTCTTCTTCTTCTTCTTCTTCTTCTTTTTCTTCTTCTTTTTCTTCTTCTTTTTCTTCTTATTCCTCATTTTCCCTTTCTTCTTCTTCTTCTTCTTCTTCTTCTTCTTCTTCTTCTTCTTCTTCTTTTTCTTCTTCTTCTTCTTCTTCTTCTTCTTCTTCTTCTTCTTCTTCTTCTTCTTCTTCTTCTTCTTCTTCTTCTTCTTCTTCTTCTTTTTCTTCTTCTTTCTCTTTTTCCTCTTCTTCTTCTTCTTCTTCTTTTTCTTCCTCTTCTTCTTCTTCTTCTTCTTCTTCTTCTTCTTCTTCTTCTTCTTCTTCTTCTTCTTCTTTTTCTTCTTCTTTTTCTTCTTCTTTTTCTTCTTATTCCTCATTTTCCTGCGAGTCCGACTCGTAAGCCAGCATACCGCGATCGAAACCCACTGCAGGCTGCGTGGATTTTTATCGTGGTATGGGACGTCGCAGGTCGACCCAGCCTAAAATGGGTACCAGGATGGGCTGTCCGGGGAAAGTAAAGACAGCCGGCGTAATGCTGACCACATTACCCACAGAGTGCTGATGGCCTGTAAAAATATGGGACGCTCTGCCCATATGCCCGATGCGCCGAAAGGCGTGAAAAGGGAACTTTACTTTACTTACCTCATTTTCCCTTTCTTCTTCTTCTTCTTCTTCTTCTTCTTCTTCTTCTTCTTCTTCTTCTTCTTCTTCTTCTTCTTCTTCTTCTTCTTCTTCTTCCTCCTCCTCCTCCTCCTCTTCTTGATTAGCCTTTCAGTACCAGGTATCGGATGCTAGCGTCGGTTTGTGCGACCTATATGTTGGTTTTTACAGCTTTGATATTCATGGTTTGCGTGGTCGACCTCGAGTTGTGCTACAGTTATGTCTAAGAGATATGGCTGTCCGTGCTGCACTATCTAGTGCTAGTCTTGACACATGTCTGAACCATTTGATCTGTTGTCTCTTGATTTAGTTTAGAACTGGTTCCGTCCTGCCTTATTTACTGATGTCGTTATTTATGACCTGTTTCTTTTAGCTGTAATTCGGATTTATCGTAGACATTTCATTTCTGTTGTTTTAGTTTGTCCCCGTGAATATCACAGTTTTGCAGTGCTAATACTATCTTAGTTGAATATATATATATATATATATATTATTGAGTAGTGCTTTTTTGGTGTCAGTTGATACGTTTGTTCTGCAACTGGTGACACATGTCTGATGATTTATTTCCTTCGTTACATCTGTCTACTTTCATTAACGTTATTAACTGAGATTGCAATCCTCACTTTCTAACAGGTCCTCCGAGATTAGGCGACCAGTTCATTTCCACAAGAGACACATCGTATGCCCACTTCTCCACATCAACGCCAGCCTTATCCAGACCGACCTCCGGGGGTCAAGGACAGGTCAGCTGCCAACCACAACCCGACCAGCCATACATCCTGGCAACCTCGCCAACATCGGCCAGACACGGCTACCAGTTACAGCGACAGCTTCCTCTCGCGTCCTTCGCTCCCTCTTTTTCATCTTCCATGCGACATCCCAGCATTCAGCGGGTTTCCACCGTGGCTACAGGTAGATCTGCTAGTCCGCGACCACCGGGAGCTGCCCCAGCATCCATCTACCGACATCAAAACTCCATCACTTCCATGGAGGACGACGTCAGCACCACCACTTCAGGAAGTTACGTCATCAACCCTGATGATGTCTGCTTGGAAAGTTACATGAATAAGGATGTTGTGGTATAGAGTTGGTTACTTCTATGTTATCAGTCATCCCACCACCAGTATGCTCTGCAGTTTACTTACTAATATAACCGTTTTGTGCGTCTGGACACAAGAAAACTGACTCATAAACAGAATCCTGAGGTATCGTGGCCATGCGAAACGTCATGGCGGCCTGGAGAAAACGATGGTTGAGGATACAGTGTCCAGAACATGAGCAACAAGCAGACCTTCATGAAGATGGATGCAAGACATTGACGATATATTGGCTTCGAAAGCACATAGGGTTGGCTAGAAAAAAAAACTTTCAGGTGTGCCGGGATGAGAGTGACGTTCTGTGAAAGACCTGGTGTCTAATGATGATACTGCTGGGTGGGGTTTCCTGGATTTGTTCCCGTTTGATCCGTATCCTTGTTGTCTGAATTTGTGGGCAACAGTCTTGGAGGGGAGCAGCTACCCCCTCCGCCCCTCTCTCTCTCTCTCTCTCTCTATATATATATATATATATATATATATATATATATATATATATATATATATAGTGTCTAGGTGCGTGTGTGTGTGTGAAATAGAGACAGAGAGAGTAACTTGGACTTTAGGAAGTCATGTGTGGTGATAGGAGCGATGAACAATTATTTCGAAGCGTGAACAGCATTGTGTGTGTGTGTGTGTAAAAAATTCGCTGTGGGTGTGTACAAGTATTTCTACCTGTTTATAAGTATTACTGTATGTGCGGAGTGTTTATACACGTGTAAAAGTATTTCTATACATGTAAAAGTATTTCAGTGTGTACAGAAGCATTTCTGTACGTTTAAAGGTATTTCTATGAGCATAGAAGTGTTTCTATATTTACAAAAGTATTTATGTGTGAATACAAATATGTATGTATGTGTATAATTAATGTTTAGGAGCCTCTGTCTGTAGACAGGTATTTACTTGCAGGGTCTTTGACCAAACGTGGACAAAGGTTCTGACTGAACCAACAGCTGGATTGGACATCACATGCTTAAATTCCATAATATCAGGGCCTATACCATAATATCAGGGCCTATACCATAATATCAGGGCCTATACCATAATATCAGGGCCTATACCATAATATCAGGGCCTATACCTTTATATCAGGACCTTTCTCTCTAACACATTCGAATCAGTGGTGAACACATGCATCTTGTGTGTAGAGTGCACATACAGCAAACATGTGACGTAGAGTGCACATACAGCAAGCATGTGACGTAGAGTGCACAAACAGCAAACATGTGACGTAGAGTGCACATACAGCAAACATGTGACGTAGAGTGCACATACAGCAAGCATGTGACGTCGAGTGCACAAACAGCAAACATATGCGCAGTTTTATCTCAACATTTTGTGCCCCAAGCAAATCAGTCGATCGGCTCATGCCTAACAACAACAAGCCTGAATCAAAATGCAGATTATCGATAAACTAACGTTTTCATGCGGCCCCGATATCGCTTGTGCCGCCGGGCATCCGCTGGGCGTGACCCCAACCCTGTCCTTCCTTCTCCCTCTTCCTCTTTTTCTTTTAAGTGTTCGGGGCTGTAAACTCGGCCTATGTCTACTTCTGGACTTTGGTCTTGTTGTTCCAGGTCTTGAGTTTTGCGTGTACATCCGTTTTACCTATCTGACTTATTTGTAAGCAGACTGTTGGTTCCTTGGTTGTCGGGCAGATGCGCTCTGACTATGAAAAAACCACCTATATGTCAATTCTTAAGACATACTCCCTGATTGGGGGGGGGGGTGGGGGCTGGGTCTTTTCTTCTGTCCCTATATTGGGGCCTTGGAACCCACATGGTAAACGATGACCCATGTGGGTTCCTTCCAAGTCAAAGTGCATTTGCCTGAGCGGCAAAGAACCAACAGTCGGCATACATGTAAGCCAGTTTTGTCAGACGCAGACAAAACTCCAGAAGTGGACGAACAGATAGAAATGCCTGACAAAGTTGCAGCCAGTGAAGCAAAGAAGAAGAGGAAGCAGATTGTACATGGCAAAGCAATCAATGGGGAGCTACTGTATATGATAAATGAGTGATTGTATGAACTACAGTGTATGATAAATGAGTGATTGTATGAACTACAGTGTATGATAAATGAGTGATTGTATGAACTACAGTGTATGATAAATGAGTGATTGTATGAACTACAGTGTATGATAAGTGAGTGATTGTATGAACTACAGTGTATGATAAATGAGTGATTGTATGAACTACAGTGTATGATAAATGAGTGATTGTATGAACTATTGTGTATTATAAATGAATGACTGTGGGAACTATTGTGTATGATAATTGAGTGACTGTGGGAACTATTGTGTATGATAAGTGAGTGATTGCAATTGCTTTATGTACTATTATATGTATCAAATGAATTGCTGTATAAACTGAACTAAATCAAAATGAATGATCATGTAAAATACTGTAAATGTCAAATTATTATAAGAAATAAATTAAATGATAAATAAATGATTGTTTCAATGCCTCTAAACGTCAAATGAATGCTTATGTGACCAACTGAAAATAAACACTAGAAGGACTGTATGAATAATTATTCACATTACATGAATGATTGCGTAAACGGTTACAGCGACAGATACAAACATGACCTGCCCTCCGTCCACGACACACACTTGTCTGCTTGAAACTGAGAATGACACTTTGAAGTTCGCCGTTTCTGTTTGAAACAGAATAAAACTCTGGAAATTGTGTAGTGTGTGAAACAAATAGAAAATCCAAAATCTGCGACTTTTGATTGCAAATGAAATTGACCAAAATGATCCTGTTTGCCGTGAAATGGAAAACGAAATTGTCCAGAATTATCCAATTTGACTTGAAACGGCATAAAACTGACCAAAATTACCAATTATGACCCAAAACTGAAAACGAAATTGTCCAGACTTGACGCAACAACTGATTCACCCAGGTTCTTCAGTAGAACACTCTGTACTGCAGTGGATGCCAGGTCACTGTGCATTGGAAGGCAATGAAATAGCGGACAGATTGGCCAGAAGCGGCAGTGACATGGTACAACCCAGCATGAGACTAAGAAATTAATACAATCTAGTATTCAAGAAAGGTGGCTGGATATCCACACTAAATTCTCTCCCCAAGACTCACTTCATCGCATCTCTAGAGATGCACAATGTATTATATTCAGACTAAAGACTGGGCACAACAGACTTCGTCAACATATGTTCAAATTTGTCGGTGTAGGAAACACGGAGACGTGTCCCTGCAACGTCATCATCAGTTCTCGTTATGCCAAGTGGCACATGAGGCTTCAGAGAGGACTTTCCGTGCTTTCCTGTCCTGTGCAATCTTCAATGCAGTTTCCCATGTCAAAGATGCCGCTCTCAGGTCACTTTCCATCGTTCATGTTGTTTTTGGGCGCCCCTGTTTTCTCCTTCCCTCTAGTGTCCATGTGAGAGCTGTTTTGGCAGGTATATCAGGATCCATTCTCATAACGTGGCCAAGCCATTTCCATCTTCTCTTGGTTATCATACTGTCTAGAGTTTCTTGGTTTGTGACTTAAAGTAGTTTAGTCTTTGAGATTGTATCTGGCCAGAAAATTGTGACAATTCTACGTAGACATGTGTTATTCTCGGTCCCACAGCTGTGCTGTGTAGTCTGTTATTTTTCTCTTGTAAATGTTCATGTTTATGTGATAGGAGTGCTATATCATCTGCAAAATGAAGGTGAATCAAGCATGGTGAATAGAGTCTATCGTATGCCTTTCAATGTCTTGTCTACTGTGTTTTTTAGTATCCAATCAATCACAAGGTTGAAGAGGAAAGATGACACGACACATCCCTGTCTCACACCTGTTTTTACTGGGAAAGATGTATTGTAATTTTTTATACTGCAGGAAAAGTTTTTATAGAAGAGAGCAATTATGTTGACTATCTTTTCTGGAATTCCATAATGTAAAATTTTCCAATGACTGTCTCTATGCATGCTGTCAAAAGCTTTCTCAAAGTCCCTGCAACTTGGCACTCGAAAATCCTGAGCGTGTGCTCCAACACTGTCAACTGTGTGCTGACAAGAGAGACTCAATCTGGCATGTTGCAGCCACAATGAAGAAAAAGCTGTATGGTACACGAGAAGATATGGACTGCACGATAGCTTTTATAGAGGCTACCTGACTCCTGATATAAGTTTTCTGATAGAAGGATCGAAGAAAAAGAAGAAGTCCAAAATTGTCTAATTCGTCTTGAAACTAGGAATGAATTTGTCCAAAATTCTCCGCCCCTGACTAAAATTGAAAATGCAACTCTGGATAACCTTGGGTTATCAGACAACTTGCAGATTTGATGTGTTCCTCTGTTTCTCACTGTGTCTGTCGTCTTGCGCTACCAGATGCCGCAATCTCTTCTCTCCAACAGTTCTAGAGCCTGAGATCCGCTGGATACCTGGACTCGACTAGAAAGCTCTGCGATATTTGCCCATGTCCTTCAGCTGTTGTCATGTTCAGGTTAAACAGGTGAAATCTATCAATCAGTCATCCAAAATTTACATTCCTTCACTCGGTAAATTCTCACACGTGCTCCGTCTTTAGCCAACGAAGAGTTGACATGTAAATAGTTCCAGATGCAACTCGATGATAAGCCCGCCTGTTTTCCTTCAGTGTTTCCAGCATTTCAAATTGTCCAGAACCTCTGCTCATCAGCCGCCCAATGAGTCTGTCAAAGCATGGATACCCGGTCTGTTCTGTTGCAGTGTCCATTTGATAACACAGAGGTTTCACTGGTCATCTCATCTTACCTTGATTCTCTGGTACCTTGCCATGTCGAGGTAGTGTATCATTTACAGGAAAGTCTCCCCCTAGTGTGCTTTGTAAATGGCGATTTCTGTTATTTCCTCTGTTGCATTGTTTGCCTCTTCTTTGCTTCCCGCTCAGTCTGTACATCATTGCTTGCTGCGATATCATGTCTGCTGACATCCATTTTTTTTATGGTCAAACAATTTTATGCCTTGTCTTCTAATGAAATCCACAGCTGCTGTTATTCC